TATAATTTTGTCCAAAACCAATTAAATTTAGTTTTGGTTTTGGACAAGGTTTTGGACAGGTTTTGGACAAGGTGTCCGAAAACCAAAACAGTCCAATTTCCCAGCACTGGTATAGTATATATGGTATACGTCACATTATTACCAACAGCCAATCAAAATGCAGAGGACAGACACACAACCAAATCTTAGTAGTATAGATTAATAAAGTGAAAATTTGTAAAATTGCTGTATTGGCTATTATAGCAGAAGAATATCGGCTAGCCAAAATAGAGTTCCACATAAACTTGGACTATCCCATGGATATGTCTCAATGTTGGGCTTGGTTATTATTATGAGCTTTGCTGAGCCTGGGTTTGACAAATAGGTTTAAGTGATTATTCATAATATTTATGCAACGTAGAACGTACTTTCGATAGCAGTTATTTCTTGATGTTTAGTATACTAATACATTACTTATCATCTACATGAAAAATGTCATAATTCTAGCATCTTATTATTATGGTATAATACAACAGGGTGAAACTTTCTGATTGAAGGAGATCACGTTTTATCGTTTTAACATTTTTGATTAGATCATAACCAAAAATGTGAACCAAAAATGTAATTTTTGTGTTTATAAGTCGTGATATTTTTCTAGATAATTCGACTTCATCCTTTTATTTATTTTGGGGGGTTTTTTTTGTAATTTTTCATTTTGGGTTTGTACGTTTATTTTATCTAACATCTAATTTAGGGTTAATTTGTCATATCCAGAAATCGTGATCTAAGTGTAGAAAAAATTTCGAATAAATGTTTCAACTTTATCGTCACAATTCGTAATCTATGTATTAAATAATCAATGTGTGAAAGGCTAGTGAAACGACCATAATTATTCTTATATATTCTTATTCAGAGCTTCCTGAATTATAATATCATAACTCAGTCATTCTAACGTAAATCCAACCGTATGGGCTGATTTTTTTGATATACTTTTCAAACCGATCTAATTCTGGTCCAATTTGCTGATCATTTGGCCTTTGGATTATCAGTTTTAAACTGGTAAACCAAGGGAAAATGATCAAATTTGACCAGAATTAGATCATTTTGAAAAGTATAACAAAAAAATCGGCTAATATCGATATGCTTCATGATAATAAATAATCCAACTATTTAGACTTTTTTTTTTTGTTAATTTTGTAATTCAAACTTGCGATGAGATGACCAAGAATCTACTCGAGAACGTGTGAAAGAGGTTTTATCACAAAATCCCGAAAGAACATAATGCCGACTAAATTGGCCAGCATTATAACTAATGTCGGCTAACTTTGTCGGTGTTAAGTCCTTTCGGGAATCTGTCTTTTGAGATTTGAGGTAAAACCGTCTAAAGAAAAAGTAATGATAGATTATGTTCATTTATATAACGGTAAATAAGACAATTGTATCAGGTATTGCTGATTTCTCCATTTAGTAAGCATTTCAGTCAATACGTAAAACTTGAGTTTAGATGATTTGAAGAGACCAATCATAGTGCATATCCTTTCCACGTTAGTTGCACAATCGATTTTTTTTTTTTTTTTGTATTAATCATTAACAATTAAGTCTCACACTTCTCTAGATCAAAATTTTCCGCTTCAATCAAATTCATTAAACTTTCTTTACACGATGTCATCACTAAGGTAGTTAAGCCGACAGAGAGTAATTTTGTTCTCCCAGCTATAGTTGTTAGACGAAACTTTTTTCGCATGATGACAAAAGACGAAACCTAAACCCCAAAAGACAAAACCTCTGACGAAAACGAACCCCAAATTCTTCTGACGAAAGACGAAACCTTAAAATGATGAAACCTTACACTCAAAAAGACTAAACCCTAGTGCTCCCGCTAAAAAAAAAAAACATAAAAAGAAAATAAATGTTATTTTCTTTGAATTAACATTCAGAGAAATTACATGTATGCCAGCAAAAATAAACCAGTTCATCTTTTCTGGACAATGCTAGGGTTGTTATAAACCGGTTGAAATAGCCTTGTAAAAAAGCCATAGTACTCATGGAATAACACATATAATGAATCAAACCAAACTAAATTTGTAATATCACAAAGTAAGCACCAAGCGATTTTTTACTAGAACTGAAATGTATAATATAATATAGAATACTCATTTCTAACCCCCTTTAAACAATTCAAGCGCCTATTATACAAGAAAATTTTTTGTAATTTTTATAAATTTCTGTTTTTGTTTGTTTTTTTATCACATAATCTTCAATGATTTTCAACATTTATTTATATTCGTCTTTTAGAACGAAGAAATTTATAGCGAGCCCGGCACTGTTCTGCTCAAGAACCCTCGATTTCTGGTAACACTATAATTGCTGAAAAAAATAATACACCCCCCTTACTTAATGTCCCTAATCGTCTCGGAACTCGACCTAATACTCCAGACACTGGTATAACTGCGGTTGACTCAATAAATGGCGCATCAGTATCACCTTTACTAATTCCTAAATAATACTCTTTGTTTTTGGGTAGAAGTTATACGTTGTCTTAAAAAAGTGGGAGACCCTTTGAACTGTTTTTAATTAGTATAAATAAACAAATGATAACAATGCTGGTATATAGTGAATAATGATTCAACACCTTTTTTTATCCGAAAATGTAAATTAGTTGTTGGGTTAATGGACGATAATAAGTACTCTGGTCGATTTGTCCATCAGTCCCAATTGAATTCAATCGCTTAAATTGAAGATGCGCTAAGTTGAATCAGAATTAAATTAATTCGAAATTCTTTAACAATTTGAGTGAATTTAAAATTTCGGTCCAACTTGTGTTTTTTAAACATTCAACTCGATGTACAACATTGTTGAACATGATAAACACAGCTAGCAATTTAATTTTTAAATTTACATCAAAAATCTAGCTACCCTACCCTTAAATCAATTCACATAAATCTGGAACAATATCTGCCGCAATTTCATTTATTCATATCAAGCTTACATGTAAATATTATAATTTAAAAAAATCTGATATTACTAAGGCCATACAAATTTAATTACTTGGTTTTCATAACATGAAACTTTTAAATAGACCCGGCCGGCCGGCTT